CGGCCGGAGCTGGTCGTAACCCGAAAAGTTCGTTAGTAGAGGCGCTTGTATCCCGAGGTACCACTGTATATGTACAGGAAAATTCAAGCAGGGAATCCATTTTCTTAAGTACGATTAGGAGATTTTCCATCAGGAATTATTTGGAAACCAACAGAAGTGCCAAGATTTTCCAATCTCAACCAATGATTATCTAAGCTATAGGGGATTGCCAAATATGATTGGATTTATTGTGGAGTGTATAGAAACTTAATGTTTATATAAGTCCAACTCCATTTCTTTTTAATTAAAGATGCTTCCACATGGTTTTTTATGCCATTCCCAAATCAGCACCACGATCCTGCGTTCTTATACTGCTGAGCCAATTTACTTCTACTTTTAAAATATAGAGGTTAGTAGGGGTTAGAATTCTCCCCTCATCCCAGTGACTCATCTATCCTGTTTCACCATAAATGTGCAAGTTCCATCCCAGTTGATTTTAGTAGAGCAGAGGGGAGTTTCTTACCAGCTTTTCCTTATTGTAAGTATTAAGGTTTATTAAAAGCCTCAAACAAGGCACTTTTCTGAAGACTGGGGCAGAGAATTGGTTGGACCATCCTTGTTTATACTCTTCAACTCATCAGCTGGAAGTTTTCAGCAAGATGAGGTTCGTGATGGAGTGGACACTTGTAAGTCTGCTTTAAAACATTTCTCTGAATTTGAAGAGATAGTATTATGGCAGCATGGAAATGCCCTAAGAACATTTTAGGAGAGCTTTTCATGTTAAACACTGAGAATGAATACAGCCATTCATTCTTAGCTGGGATGAAGAACTGACTGAGCTGGAAGTAGTGTATACTGGCAAACCCAGCTTCCATGCCCTTGTGCCTTTCATAGTGATTTAATGGGAATATAATCATACAATATGAAGAGAAAAAAGTATCAAAGTCTGCAAAGTCACCCACCCTTCCCTAATATTGCAACTCCACCAGATGACTTCCTTTCCATGCACAGTAGCATTTCAAAAAACTTCCATTCAAAACCAGGTCCACTGATTACAAACCAGTGTGCATAAGGTTTCTATGTGTGTAGGGCTGCCTTTCCCAACTGGCACCTTCCAGATGTGCTGGGACTTAGAATGTTTAGAACTGTGGTGTTAACACATCTGGAAGGTGCCAATTTTGGGGATGCTGCCTTTGGGTCTGAAACCTGTGTTCTACTGACTCCATTCAATGCACCATTAATTAATTCACTTGAATTACACTTAGTATTTCTTCATAAGAAATTATCCAAGATAAATAATAATAATAATAATAATAATAATATAATAATAAACATTTAAATACACGTTTAAGTTTTTGAGAGGCTGTTTCTGCCTTCTGACAAACACACAATTGACTATATCAGATACTCTGCTAATCAGAACAAGCATGAGCCATCAATCCCTTGAAAAGCATATGAAGAACTTCAGCTACATGCTGTCTTAATAGCACGCTGTAGTAATAAACATTTTGGTTTCATTTCCTCAGACTCACTACAACTGCTTGCATGTCATTATTACTTGCAAAGAGCAAGAGAGCCAAAACAGGGCCTGAAACACCAAAGGCTACTTCAGAAGCTTCTTAAAACATACCGAGGTCAAAAAACAAACTGAGACAAGGAAAGACCGGATTATTTCAGAGGGATTAAAAGGTCAAAGGCCTGGTGCAAAGAAGCAGGGCAATATCCCACACAAACCCCTTACTGCAAGACCAGCCGAACAACAACAGCAGAGGGTCCTCTCCAGGCCTGCTTAGAAAAGGAGAGGGAAGAACGCTTAGCTGCCACCCGCCACCCCCCCAGTACAAAATGCGCCTTGCCTGATACCTCTCTTGATATCTCCCTTAGTCGACAGTGCCTGTTCTTACACTACGTTGTGACCCTCTGAATTACTTGCAGGCTGACAACTTTTTATTTTGATCTAGTAATTTTGGGGTAGCTCCCCTGCCTCCGGTTTTCTGCTGGGGGACACTCAGCAGAAATGGACATCAATGGTCCACCATACCCAAAAGTCTGCACTTTAAAATGTACTTAATGATCTGCTTTTATTTTGCAGATCTCTTCCTGAACAGTACTGTGCCTTTTATTGGGCAGCACAAGATTGCTCCCTAAGCAATCAAACTGTAAGCCACTAAACAGAAAAGCTGAAGGCTTGGAATCCTTCCAGAATGGTTTTTTTTATTATTATTTTAACCCAATGAACTGCATTTTATATCCTGAAGAAGACAGAGTTCCTCCTCTGGTAGCGTTAGCATAATCCTACATACATCTATTCAGATGTAGATCCATTAAATTCAATGGGAATTACTCCCAGGTGAGTGGAATATAGGATTGCAGCTTAATTTGCAACTTTATCTTCTTTGCAAATGCTAATCAGTAGCAATAAGGAGATACTTTCACTAAGAGCTTGAATCTCAAATAATTTGTG